GAGAGAGAGAGAGAGAGAAAGAGCGAGCGCGCCAACAATTTTGATTACGTTTTGACCTCCGATAAACTTTGTCATGTTTGAGTGAATAGTGCAGATCTCGAATAAAGTATATAATGCTTAAATAAATGGATTAGTTCTCATGTTTATTGAAAATTCTGATTTTCGAAAATTGCTGAAATTTTTTTCAGCCTCTGTCACAACTAAAATTGTAAAGATAAACATTCTTTAACGAAATGTGTTCCTTAAAAAGAAATCATTTAATAATATCAAGTTAATTTTTTTTAATATGAGCATGTTTTGCGAAATTTTGTGTCAAACATAGGCAGTTTTTTCTATAAACAATTGTTGCTTCAGACTGCACAAATAGTTTTAATTCAATTTAAATCATTGGTACCGTAAAGAACGCTTCAGAAAATGGTACAGGTCTTATGATTTTCGAAATTCCTTATTTTTTAATAATTTAATTTTTATCGACGGCTTCCTGCTACTAAAATTATTTTCTTAATGAATTGTGTTCATCAAAAACAGATTTTCAAATAAGGTTATTTTGACTTTTTCGAGAATATAAGTGATTTTGCGTCAAATGTCTAGGCCTTCTGAGTAGTTGAGAGAAAGGAGACTTTTAAGCCTCAATTGATAACCAATCGAATACTTTCGAACATTTTACCAGCATTTTTTGATCATTTTGGAGAATTTTGGGGGTCATCAAAAATCCGGCCCTACTTATCCAAATACGAAATTGGAGAATTATCAAATGAGACTCAAGTCTCATCAAGTTAAAATCTAAGTGAACTATAATTTTAGTTTAAATTTGACTCTTCGTTCTGCGAAAGATGACATCTGATAGTATTTAAGTTAATAGAACGTATACCATGCGTTTTTTCTAATATTACTTGCATTAAACAAATGATTAATTTTGGTATTAACCAAGAATGGATATTAGAAGAGTAATTACGATACATATATCCATGCTTCATTAATCTCAAAAAACAATTATTTCTGCAATACGAGTAATATTAGAAAAAGCACATGGTGTACGAACTATCAACAAAATTACTATCAGATATCATCCTTTGCAGGACAAAGAGTCGAATTAAAACAACTGAATTTTGACAAAATGCGTCAAAAGTTCTACGAAATTCCAATGGTAACAATATATTACAATATTCGATTTAAAAGTATTATTTGATAACTCTCCACTTTCGTATTGTGATAAGTAGGGACGTACTTTGATGACCCCTAAAATTCTCCAAAAATTATCAAAAAATGCTGGTAAACTGTTTTAAAAATGACCTAAAAGCAAAGAAAAATGACGTAACAAATATGATGAAAACCAGTTCGGATGAACATCTCCAGCTGTTTTATTTGATAATAATGAAATAATTATATGCGTTGTCATTGCCAACAATATTATTTATTAAAAAAGCAGCTTTCGATGGCTTAGCCATCATCATCAGTTTTCTAGTACAAGAAGAAAAACAAAAACATTAAAACGTGAATATTCTTTTGATTTGGCAACAAAATTATAATAAAGGTTACTAATAATTTACACTTTTTTGTGTGTGTAAAAGCACAGCAGCTGGCAAACCGTCCCTGTCAACCACCGCCGCCAGCCACGAAACCCGCCCGCGCTTGCGCACGCGCACATTCCGCTAGAAACACGAGGCAAAATCAAAAACAGTCAATCAAGAAGACTTTAGACAGGAAATTTTAACAGAAAATAAAATAAAGTTTACATATGAATCTTAGGGTGCCGTCCAAAGCGCCGAATATTTCCATACGTAAAGTTAAGAAATAAATTAGTACTTAAATCCTGCCCCTTCTTTGGTGCAAAAGTCAAAAACGTGCAGCGTATGTATTTCTCATGAAAATAAACGACCACCTCGTCAGGGCTACTGACGGAAAGTTTTTAAGAAAAGTAAAAAAAATGGAATGATCTTCGCTTACATGTGTCCTTCCTGTGTTTGTAGGTATTCGAATAAACCAATATATCGCACCTTTTACACCATATGAGTAAAGGTTTTGTTCTGAAAAATAGGATGGTGTAGGAAAGATGTGAGAGCTTTATTTAGAAAATGATGTAAGAGATACATACGAAGAAAAAGAAAATTCCCATTGTGAGTCCAAAGATAATGTTAAAGAAATGTCTGTAAACGTTGATACGGGCCAGGCAGTAGGCAAAGTGGATGTAAAACAATATAATATCTGTGTGAAGGACAATAGTCTTGTGTCATTTTCGCCCAGAGACGACAACGTCCCACGCTGCCCTTTGGTGACCCTCCTGATCCCTCAGACCGTTCTCGGATTCCCAGCAGAAGTCTCTCGCGTGTTCTATTTGCTGTCGACACAGTCATTCTCTCGATCCTCATTGTAATTCCTGTTCTCATACGCAACCTTTGCATTGCTTTACGGCTTTTTGGAAGCGGTTGGTGAAAGTATTATGTGCACATATATGCGTATTCAAAACTGACGGAACTAACGTATTCAAAATATTCGCAATTTTGCCATATTTTTCTCAGTTAACAAGACAGTTAATTTTTTTTTCATTTTTCGGTCCCCTAGTTGCAGAATATAACTAGTAGTGTGTCAACAGAACATTGTTTCTGCTTAGATTATAACTTATGTAATTTTTGAACATCTAGAGTTCAACGAAAATTAAATATGGACCGATTTTTAAGTGCCTTTTGCTCTAGCAGAGAGTAAAAAAGTAAAGTTCAAAGCCGGTTTTAAGAAAAAAATCTATATTCGCCTTTCTTTACCTATATTCGCATTACTTCAAGCACTTGAAACCAGGAAAGCAATACCTTCATTAATTACGATATTTTAACCACAAACGATTCAAATATGATGACCATAAACTTTAGCTTCACCATTCACTGTGAAATTTTATTTGAATTTCTAAACTACTAACGTACCTTTTGCCAGTTTCATTTTAGGCAATTTAAATTGACACAATTGACACAGTAGGAATGGATAGAATTTTCCCAACCAGAAACTGCATACGAACGATTTCAGTAATAAAATGAATCCAACGGATGCACGTGAAATAAAACCACTAAGTAGTACCCTACGATTACACTTATACCACAATGTATTATGACTGACACACACACAAACTTATCCGTTATATTCTTTCAATATTCCACTGATAAATGGCTTTCGGATTCATATTTTCGACCGGATTGAAAATAACACATTGTTAAATAACAAAGTTTTCGTCATGGTATCCAATTTCAACGCCCAACCACTAACGAATTCCCTAAGCCAGTGAATACAAAAATACCCTTTAGTAGTAATATTTACAATAATTCGAGAAAATACAAATAAATGTATGTATAAAAGTAAATGTATGTAAAAATAATGTATAAAACAAAATATTTAGACAAATTTTCATTTGTTTTACTTTTCGTTTGCAATAGATACTTTATATTCCGTGATTAAAAACACGTACATTTTTCAGAATTATCTTGGGTTTTGGGCACCAAATAACTTGGCCGAAATCAAGCTTTTGGAATATCAAAGAGAATTAAACTCTTTTCCATTGTGAAGAATTTCTGCGAATTTTTCATAGCATTTGAGAAAATGAAGTTCGAACATTTGAGAAAATTTGCCACTTATTGTCATGCCACGCCATTGGAATATGTTAGAAAACAATTTTTTTTGAGAATTTTGAATTTTGTTACTCGTGTTTAACGGACATTGTAACGCTCCGAGAGAGCGTTGGCAGAAAGAGTGCTGCATGTCTTTGAATGGAAAACTGATACATTCAAAATATCCGTGAAATACAAATCGCAAAACAAACAAAAAATTACTCAAAAAGATATGTATTTACTGTATTAGTCAAAGGATCGCACGGTGCTTTGTATTAAAGTACTACCGTCAAGCGTGCAGTTACGAGGGAAAACAATGTATACAAAACGTTTAGAAGCCAAAGAATAGAGGTAAAGGAAATGATTACCTTACATTACTAATGTATTTTGAAACTGTACAATTGCAACTTTATATATAACAAGTATGTTTAGTTTATGTTAGGTTTAATTTGATGTGATAAAAATGTTCGTTTTCAGTATAATTTGAGGTAATTAGTAATGTATAGTGAGACGAATAACAGATTGTTAGTTCTGATAAATCGACATTGTGGAGAATCAAAGTTCGAAAGTGTTAGTAGTGTTAAATTATAATTGTGATGTATGTTAGTAGTGATAAATTAGCGCGACCACCCTTTAACGTTGTATATTTATATGTTGTGCACCGGTCCAGTTTTATAAATTTGCGTATAAATTAGTTCTTAATTAAAACAAAATTCTGGTACTCTTTTTCAATTTTGTGATAACTGATATGCTAATTTTGCGGACATTTTGTTGAGCGTTTGTGTTTTGCCCGCAGATGGAGGAGCAGGCGCGCAGCGAGGCCGAGGGGGACGTGCTGCCGTGGACGGTGGCCGAGTTCTACCGCGGGCAGAGCGTGCTGCTGACGGGCGGCTCGGGCTTCGTGGGGCGCGTGCTGCTGGAGAAGCTGCTGTTCTACTGCCCCGACATCGACACCGTCTACGTGCTGCTGCGCCCCCGCAAGGGGCTCTCGGTGCAGGAGCGCCTGCACAAGCTGCTCGACGTCCCGGTCAGCACCGCACACTAATGTTACAATCTTCTACTAGTGTCTGTTAGCAATAGCAACTCTAATTGGCTGATCGAAAACGATCACGTTTTGCCAATGAACATATAGTAGTTGATATCAAAATATCGATTTCCAGATGAGAAAATGCCTTTAATTATGAGACATTATCTTATGCACAAGTGTTCAGCAAAATTTAAAGTAGTCAAGTCATGCCATCAATTTTATTTTCAAATCAATTTCATGTCTCTACAAAATATTGTACTTACGGGGTTACCTAACAATTAGAGAAAAAATCACATGTACTTCTTTGAATAAAACTTCCCACTTACTGTTCATTGGCATATATTTCTAGCCCTACACATTTGTAGCGTTTTCTCGAAGACTGTAAATTTCTAGATAGACAATTGCGTTCTCAAAGTGTACCCCTGTAATGATACCGACATTACACACAGATTAACAAAGTGCGTTTTTGATACTAGCAGAACTCTTAATGCTTCTTTTATCTAGAAATTGTTCATTTTATTTAATTTTTTGAATTTATTTTCTTCCTGTTTGGCAGTTTTGCCTTGAAGGTGTTTGTATATTTTTATTTTTAATACATAGCCTTTCGACCTACAACCTCTCACTCTTGTATCATTTAAATAACTAATTTACGGGATTTCATACCTATATTTTTAACGCAACAATTTACACACAATACTCAAATTTTGCTACACAATATTCATTCCTAAATCTAGGTACTCTTTAAACATACATTTCAAAAATATCCTAAGGTTGAAGTAAAAAAGTTTTACAATTTTTTAATATACATATTCTTATAATGGATATTTATTTTCATGGGTATCTTAACATACCTTTCGGATATCGTGAGCGTATTCTCGTGGGATTGTTTAATGTTTTCTTCATTGTTATTTTTATACTGCAAGGAGAGAATGGAAGAAGTGTAAAAACTTTGTCACAGTTATTTCTTATATATTCATTTAGGGTCTCTATTTGACGTTCTATTTGTGTGTATTGGCAATGATCCAAGGAACATTTGCACATTTTATTAAAACATTGCTTTGTATTATCTGAAGTTTTTCAGTGTTGGTTTGGCAGTTATTCCATACCGGACAGGCATAAGTGAGTGAGGCCTAATTATAGATTTAAATATTAAAATAGTACTTTCCAAATTTAAGGGTGATCAGAAGTTTATTAATGGATATAATTTCGATATTTCGGCACATGTTGCGTTGGTTGGTAGTTCAATGAGCTTTTTCCAGGTTTACCTGCTATCAATGTGGACCCTAAGATATTTCACTGCTGTATCAGTGGCCACGGGATGAGAGCATTATTTAATACTAGTGGACGAGATAACGTTGGTTTACAAAGAGTGAAATTTTGGCCTATATTTTGTTTGGTTTATTTCTATTTCCCACTGTTGAGCCCACTTTAGAATGTATGAGATATCCACCTCGCTATCTTTTGCTACATTTATATCTACATGCGTAGTATATTTTGCCTATCGCGTGCGAATAGCGCAAGATTTGCGTCTCCTAATGTGAGAATGTCTGAAAAATACACATTGAAGAGGAATGGTGATAGTGCAGAACCTTGAGGTACCTTTTCTCTTATTATTCTAGTTTGTGAAAGTGTGCAGTTTATTTTAACTCTGAATGTTTTGTCTGTAATAGAACGATTTATAATGTCCTGTAAATAGAAAGGTACTCCCAAGTGTTTGAGTTTGAATAGTAAACCAGTATGTCAAACTTTATCTAAAGCTTTTTCTGCGTCTAAAAAGTCCCAATTGTTTGGTTTTGTTATGGAAACCATTTGCAATTTGTTCTATGAGGCGGATGAGCTGATGAATTGTACAATACTTTAGCCTAAACCCGAACTGTTCATCTAGTAATGCACTTACTTCTGTGAGGTAATTGGTAAGTCTTTTTTGAATTAGTTTCTCAAATATTTTAGATAAAAAGGTTAATAAGCTAATTGGCTATAGCTCGTTACTTCTTTAGGATTTTTGCCTGGTTTACTGATTGGAAGGACAATGGTCTGTTTTTATGCTTTTGGAAAATTCCGTCTAAGTGCCGAGTTATTTACTACTGCCAGGACTGCAATCGATCTTCCTGGTAGTTCTTTCAAGACTCTATTTGTTATTCGTCCTTCCTAATTTGTTGTTGTTGGTGCCTTCCTAATTTCGAAATGATTTATAGTTATAGTAATCTCGAAGGGGCTAATTAATTTAATTGGAGTGAGGACTCTGTAATATGTGTCGGTCGTATACTCTTCAATTACTTTTTATGCTTCATGTCGGTTATTGAGTTGGGGTAAAAGTATTTTCAAAATTTTCGGCGATTTTAATCTGTATTCTCGTGGTCCGTATGTGTATAATTTCCTGTTTGAGTGTTTAGGCGAATAATTTTTTTCTCCTGTTATATTTATATTGTTATCCACAGCCGTTTTGCATTTGGATGTTTTTGGGATAGAGGAGTTTGGAAGTTAGAATATCTTAAATTATCTAATTCGATTTTAATTATACTCGTTAGACTTTATTTTTATTTTGTAATTTTTATTTTATTTATTTGCCATTCACTTCTGAGTTTTCTTTTTTCATGTATTAGATTCTTTAGTTGTTTAGTTAAATTCCTACGCGGTCTGCGTGCTGAAGGGGATGAAACAATACTTTCATCTGTTTTCATGAATTGCATTGTTTATTCTGCTTATTTCTGATTCAAGCTTGATATCACTATTAATTGGAATGGGAAATTGCAGGTTTTGAAACATTAGCGAAATTTATTCTATTTGATATTTATTTTGTTTATTTTTGAAGTTTTGCCTTGGAAAGAGCAAAAATTATGATCCGAATCTAGATCCAGAACATCCGTTTGATAAATTGGGAAATTGATTCCTTGGGAAATTATTATATCTCAGATATCTGGGATGATTTTAATGTTGTAAGGGTAGCGAGTTGGTTCACCGAGTGTAGTTATTAGTTGTAATAGCTTTCTACCGTGTGTTGCGGTTGAATTGCAGCCCCAAACTGTACTTTTTCTATTTAGCTCTCCTATTATAAGAACTTCATTAAAAATCGAATAAGTTTCATTAAATAACGATTTAGAATTTTCATTTTCCATTAAATATACAGCACAGGACCCTAGAGGTTCTCTATTTTTATTATGTAGCATTGTTACGCCGGTAACTGGGTAAGTCCAATTCATCACATATTCCTTCCTGTGAGTAAACTACAGTTATACCATAAATTATAACTGAGAGCTTGGAAAAGTATTTCTGAAAGAATGATATTGTATATTATTTTTTTCACAAAATTTTCTGTAACCTCTGTATTGTTCAAATGTTGTAAAATTCACTTTGTAAACACATTTTTGTTGTTTCATGGTAATCTCGTTTTTAGATACTTTTTTAATTTTACTAACTAGAAGTAGATATCCGTAGCTGTTAACAATATGAATATTGGTGGAAATTTTACAGTCTTATCACTTTTTTGCTAGCCTCTTTATTTTTCCATCTCATAGTCTTACGCATGGGGGATGCTGTGGCCAGGGGTTCACTCTATTGCCTCCTTCTTAGGCTATTTGTATTCCCGCCTCTATTTCAAAAAAAAGTCTTTAAACTAGTGTCACTACCTCCCTTCCTATCCAATCTGTGTCTTCTTTTAAGCATCTGCTTCTTTTAAGCAGTAGTAACGTTTTGTCAAAAGAAGGATTCGACAATATAGTTTCCCTTGCTAGTTCTTTAGACAAGCGTGAAAAGACAATATATCATATAATACGTCCATTTACACGTGTAATTTCGGTAATATCCGTGTAGAGTTGCAACGAAATGCTAAGAAGGCATTAAAAATTTCGAATCACAACGAAGTGGTAAAGAACACACTGATACTAAAAGACTCATTGGTGCTGTCCGCCACTTAGGAAAGCAAGAACAAGCTTTCAGGGGTCGCGATGAATCCGAAACACCCTTAAATAAACAAAACTTCAAGGTACAAAATTATCTAATAGTCTAACATATGATATCAATTGTTTCAAATGGAATAAATTTAGAAATATTGTTAGGAAAAGTACGTTTATTTTTTTAACAGTTTCATTTTGAAAACCTAATAATGGTCTAATAGAATCTAATAATAATAATAATAATAATAATAATAATAATAATAATAATAATAATAATAATAATAATAATAATAATAATGTCTTTATTAATGGCGAGGCTCAGGCCATAGGGCCTGCTCTTCCGCCTAACCACTGAATTTACATACATTTAGAGTAGTAACATTTTAAGAGGGGAGGACAAGCTGTACATTTACGTCTGGGAGAACAAATCTAGGGACCATCCCGGCATACGCCTTAAGCGATTGAGTAAACCCAGAAAACCTCAATCAGGATGGCGGCTTAGGGCCGAACATTCATAGAACTGAGTATGTTATACTGAGTAGTGAAAGGGAAGTTTCGTGAAAGAGAAAAGAAAAGACGTACAGGGTCAAAAAGTATAAATGATAAAGTTTGTGAGGGAGAGGGAAGAGAAAAAAAGCGAAGAAAAGGACGAAGAAGAAGTAGGCGAAAAAGTGAAGTTCTGAAATTTGAATGAAACTGTGATACCTGCTTTGTGAATATTGTGTGCGACTTTTTCTGAAAAGGTTCCAAAATTAGGTAAGCAAATGTACTTGTTTGGTGTTTGTGTTATTGGAGAGTGTAATGTACGTTTTTGTTTTCTGTTTGACTATTTTGCGACGAATAGAATGTTGTGAAGAGTTGTCGATGACAGTGTCTGGATAAGTCGATTTTATGAAAATATTGTAAGTATGTTTGTTTCCAGACATGTTTATATTCAGGTCAACTACGTAACGGTGTTCTTGATAAGTGGATGGTTTAAAGGAAGATGGTGTGTATGAAAGCGTCCATAAATATATTTCCAAGGAGAGAAGAGAGGTGAGCCCATAGTAATTCCTGAATTTCGTCCATAAC